TTTAAGAAAATGAAAGACTAGGTTCTTTCATCTGTACTGATATTAGGAAGTCAAACATTGACAAGTGTGAATTTTAATTATGTTTTTGTCTTTTGGTTTACCCAAGTACATAACGTTTCAAAGGCCAAATTCCTATTCTAAGAACTACCCCCTCACTGATTTCTCATGTCTGATATCTACACAAAAATCTTCATACTAGTGGCACTTGGATTCCTATTTTCATGGATATTTACTTTTACCCTATGAAGAACCATTCTACCTTGATAGATGAGCCGGTTTTAGAAATACTGTGAATACTCAAAGCCATTACGAATTTTGAAAAGGCAAACAAAACACATCACACAATACTTTCTAAGGCGTGCACTGCCAGCCACTGGCTAACCTACCTGATAACCCTGAGGTCACCTGCAGAGAGCTACTTTGTATTCTATAAGTTATTTATTTTCAATGACATATTTGTATCTTTTGACATAATCAAGCACTTCCCTCAATTCTGGCCTATCTTTCCAAACAACCTGATCAACCAAAGAATCACCTGTCTTTATTTTTACTATCAGGCCACACCTGTGCTCATGCAGGCTCCAAAGTCCCACAGGCACATCATCCCCATGGCCCCTGCATATTTGTCACTCTAATAGAGGACAGCATAAACGACACACATTTTCAAAATCAGCTGTGTCACTGTTTCCTATCAGCATGGATATCAATCACCAACTATGAAGTATATAAAAATAGGGGCTAACTGGTTAGCTAACTTGGGAGAGTGTGGTGCTGATAAAACCAAGTTTTGGATGCCCATACCGTTGAGCCACCAAAAACAAAAAGAAAAAACAAAAACCCATATATACTTACACAAATAGAAATCTTTTGTTGAAGTCCAAGGAACAAAGTTAGATAAGTGATTTCTATCTGGCCAGCAAATCTGCTCACAGTTTAAGCAGAATTTCCTTATCTCAGTGATTTTGTCAGTGGAGCACTAAAATCTGCTCCTGATTTCTGACTTTCTTGTACAGAGCCTACCAACTCTAGACACTATGCCACAAATGAGGATTTTATTCTTAGACTTCCACTCAATTCCTCAGTGTCAGACTCAATTGAAAACACAATTCAGTTCTAGCCCAATGGTCCCCAGTTCTGAACTCTTACTTACAAAACCAACAAAACTATTAGTATCTTTCAGAAAAAGTAATCAAACATGCATGCTCTGGATTACAAAGTGCACATGGATAAATGTAATTACATTATTTCTATAGTTATTCGATTTTCATCCTCCAGAAAAGCATGAGCATATGCCTATCTTTAGTAAGAAAAATATTAACAGAACAGTCTTCATCTGAATATTCTAAGTGGAAAGCTTAACTCCCTAATCATAAAGATATCTAAGCTCTTGGATTTCGATTTTCATTTTTTTTGTTACTATGCATCTTGCCAAGTTCTTTCTGGCCCCAAAATACCAGACATGATATGTAGTTTCCCTGCAGATCAGTACGCACCCCATCCCCTGCTAGATAACACCAAGGGTAGCTTCTTGACAAGGACATTCCCAGTCCTTTTTAAATTCAATTGTTTAAGTCAAACTCAGCTGTTGGGTTTAGAAAGCCTCACTTTCTGTGAGTTTCTCCAAACACAGGAGGAACTGCTAGTCACACTGATTATTACTCATAGAATCTAAGGACAGACATGAAAACCAAGGGTTTCCTGATGTCAGCAGCAAGGTTTGCTAATGACATTAAAAACAAAGGCAGACAGAAAATATTCTACTATCTCAATTTTGGAAGAAGCTAACAAAAGTCTTTAGAAGAACTGATGAGGGGCCGGCCCGGTGGCACACTGCCACAGTGCGCTGCTTGGGAGCGTGGTGGCGCTCCCGCCGAGGGTTCGGATCCCACATACAGGCCGGTTCCCGCTCACTGGCTGAGCAAGGCGCGGGAGCGGCACTGAGGGTTGCGATCCCGTTGCCGTCCCAGTCCGGTACGGGGGTGACACTGAGGGTTGCGAACCGTTGCCGGACACGGAAAAAGACAAAAAGGAAAGGGAAAAAAAAAAAAAAAAAAAAGAACTGATGAGGCAGACAAGAAGCCCGAAAGGTCATTTCCATTTCAGATGCTCATGCAATTGAGAGGGGGCTATTGTCTACACAGACAATATTGATGCTACCCGTATGGTTTACCTGACTGGTACCTACATTTTTAAAAAATTTACAAGAGGATTGAGTCAAAATAGGTAAAATTTCATTTAAAAAACAAGACACCCCCAATTTTCCCCCCAAAAGATTAATTACTTAAGCAAAGCCATGAGGTGAATCAAGCTGACTGTCATTTTGACCTTGCTCTGCTTTAACTCAGGAGCCTATTTAGAAATGTAACGAGCAATCCCCTTCATTCGGCTCAGCTAGCAGAGCTAATAGGCTTCTAATTAATTTCCAGAAGATTGCTGTTATAACTAACAGGTTTTAAACATTTGGTTGATTGGGGAAAATGAATTGAATATAATGTATTTGATTTGGAAAATTAGTTTTCATTCTATGTGCTTACCATAATAGTGTTTATTTTAAGTTTACATGATTCCATTAAGAGTCCCAGAACACCACTGGGTTGTTTTCATTCTTACAGAGTGCTATCCAACTTTAAAAAAAAAAAAAAATCAATTTACATTTAGATTTTTGTTGGCCTTTATGTGAAGGCAGGTTAAATTCATTTTTGTGGCTTTAATAAAAATCTTCACTTGCTAATATAGCAATGGGCCCAAATACTTCAAAATGATCCTGGCGATACCTCAGTCAAAAGCTCAGTCATCGAATGCAAATCCTCTGGAGGAAAGGCTCTGCACAGAAAGTAAGATGAACCAGTTACTGCATTGTTTATTAAGTTTCACTTGATTCCTCCTGACAACCATTTAAACAATGAATGTTGGGAAATGTCCCTCAAAGAATCAACAACAATGGCAAGGATCAGAGCTTTTATATTTAGCTAATACTATTTTTAAAAGGAGAAAATATTTCTTCCTGAAGGGATTATGGGAAGCCTTATTAAAGACACCTGCAAACAAAACAAGTGACAATAGATCTTTATCATAATTGATAACTGAGTTACCCTTTCTATAAAACTCCTTTCTTGGAGACAATAACATCAAGATTTACCTTTGCTATAGATTCAGGACATGAGCTAATTGGGACCAGCAGAATTCACCAATGATCAGTTTACCAAGATTATGTGAGCGGATAGTAAAAAAGATCCTCATCTCTCAGGTTAAACAGAAGTACAGCGAGACTAGAATTTTCTCTCATGCTGCTGAGAATGTTTTATATTGAAATCAAGCCGCATCCATCCTTGTCCCTCCATATGTGCTACTAAAACACATGAGGGATTCTAATTATGACGGCTCACTCTGCTAAGCACACAGTGGGCCAGCCAGCTTTGGAACTCAACCTTTGCCTAGCCTGCAGTTACAAAGAAACAGAACCTTTCACAAAACCTTCTCCAGGTAATTAACAATCACTGTCAAAACGTGTACTTATTATAGTCATCTGCATTCTATGAAAAATCTGAAACTGTTTTAGTGAAATACTGCTTCTGGGGGATAAGTAAAATAGCTGAAGACAGCAGGACACATTTTTAAAATAAGTTCGGAGAGGAAAAAAAAAAATCAAAGGTCCTGTTTGCAGTGAAAATATTCCACCTGTGAGTCTCAGGTGAGTCTCAGCTTACTTCACGTAGGTAAACAGTGGATGCCTTCACCCATGGGCTATGCGGTTTGCAGTCAGATATTCATTGCTGCATTTCTGTGTGACTAACAGGAATTCCTGTAATCATTTCAGGCCTCTTACAATTTTTCTGACACAGCTAATTTTCCAAGTTAAGTAATTTTGGCTCTTTATAAAACAGTGACTCCAGAGGAGATCCGAAGCTTTGACTTAAGAGCATCTGAACATCGGGAAAAAAAAAAAAAGTGAAAAGGGCTGGTGGGGCATCAGGATAAAGTCGTTAACTGCAGACCTCAACTGTAGTATTTTACGTCCTGGCCTTAAACTGAGTTCATGACTAGAAGTACTGTTAACTGGCACTTAGGGAAAGTGACGAAGGTTGAAACTGATGAAGTGTTAGCAACAGCAGGTGGGATATTAGAATACACACAGCTTTTGATAGATGCATTTCATTTCTAAAATAAACACTTGGAAAAAAAGAAAAAAGTTCCCCAGCCTGAATCATTGAAAAGTACAGAAAAAAAAAAAAAAATACCACATGAACAACAATATTGAATGAGGAGATGAGAGATGAGATGACCCAACATGATTCTTTAGCACTTCAAGTTCACAGACAAGACAAATGCTTTATAGATGGTATTTCTGTTGGATTTTTTAAAAAAATATATCTTAAGACTTAGAGCAATCAACATGTGAAAAGAAAAACTGCCTAGAAAAACAAAAAAGACATTTTCTGAGATGACTTTGATCCTGTACTCAAATTATTGGCTTAAACATGCTTGCCTTTAAAGGCTTTGTATCTGCAATAACTGCTCTCTATTGTCCTTGTTAACAAAGTATTATTTTCACTTTATTATTACTAATCTTTTCTTTGTAAGTAACCACACCTGGTTTTATCCAAAAAAACAGTGCAGTAAATATTTGTCCTTTGTGGTAATACAATGCATAATTTAGTTAATCTGGGCTATCTTTCCGTGAGAGGTGATTGTTTCTGTATTATGAAATGTGTTCACAGTAAAGCGAAATCCATGCCAGATACCTAGGAGGCAGACGGAGAGCCACTTACAAGCATGTAGCTGCCTCGAACCAACCCTGACACTGTGTAGCCACTCCTACACATGAGGTATTACTCATGCTAACTTAGCCTCCAAATCATAACCACACCTTTCTTCTACAAACATGGCCTTTTATTAACATTACACATCGCCAGGCCCAGAACCCCACCCCCAACCCCATAAAAAAGGCTTGAAAAAATAGGAACTTCAGTTTTCTATTTCAGAACTGAACGTTGTGTTACCTGGATGAAATCTAGAAATGTCAGGGGCAACAAGTCATCCATATGTCCAATGTCTTTGGAGAAACGATTTAAAATTCTTCCTGCAAGAACAGGATATAAGAAATTACTCATTTCCCCAGATAGACCCTTGAAGAGAAACAATTCGCCAACAAATCAAAACAATATTTTAAGTGCATATGTATTTAATATATTACACATTCACATGAAATAAGCCAATGTCAGTGGTAAAGAAAAAGAAAATAGGATGATACCTAAAGAGAAACAAAAATCCCACCAAATAGCAGTGGGCAGGGAGTTAAAATTTGGTCCTGATTTTGAGAAGAAAGGTGGTGGAAATCCTGTGACAGTATCAGGGAGGGTTGGTGGGTTTTAGAATGTCTCTCCTCTTTAGATCCCATCTACAACTTCAATCCAAGTGCTAAATAGGTAGATGAACAATTGAAAAATACATAAATTAATCCTAATTGTCACACTAATTTTGCTTTAGAATTAATTTTGCTAAGTGACCCATTTTTAAATAAATGTCACTGTAAACCTTTGTAATTTTTTTCCCCAAAATGGTTCATGGCAACTTCAAAAAGTTTATGGAAAAACAGGATTATAAGATAATAAGAATCTTTCCATGAGCTTTCTGAAGCACCCCTGTATGAAGACACATACACACACACACACACACACACACACACACACACACACACGGCCTATATTTTGATGTAGGCAACCCCTGAAAAATGTTTGTCTAGACCCCTGAACTTTTCTCATCGAGGCTTGGGAATCCACACCACAGATGACAGGTGAGACCTCTACACATACCCAAGTGCTTGCCAAAAGTGACTTCCTCGAGGGCCTTCATACCAAACAGCCACTGGACTGTGAACAGTCAGAAGCTGGGGACTAAGCTGCCACTGCTGGAGCAAACGCTGCCTCTGCAGTCCTCCCACGAGGCGCCTGTGCTGCGCCAGGAAGGGCAGGCCATGCCAGGCCATTACAAGCTAGGCCTCCATTTTCCTCTCTCAGACTTAGGACATAAAGACTCCAGAGAGCAGCTTTCAGTGACACCTTTAACAGGCCCAGTGACATCTTTTCCAAGCCTCTAATAGCACCTCCTTTAGAGGGGTGTCCTGAGGATTAAATGGGCTCATGAATGTGAAAGAACCTAGTCACAATGCCAGGCACTTTTTAGCAGGTGCCCAAAAACAAAAACCAAAATGAGAAAGGTGCAATGATGACTATTACAGATTCTACAGCATACCACCTGGGGAGGAAGTTCAACTTGTTAAAATGCAGATTCTGATCCAGTTGCTCAGCGTGGAGCATAGTCTGCATTTCTAACAATCTCCCAGGGATGCCCTTTCTGCTGTCTCCCAGACCACACACCAGAGGTTGGGCCATTATTTAATTAGTTGTGTTAAATCAGGTGGGTAATTTTTCCACCTATCCTAATAGATTTTGTGACCTATCTAGTTATTTTTTAATTTCTCAAAGTATCAATACCGAAATTAGGAAAATAGATGTTAAAAAATAGTGAAAAAAATTAGTGGGGACGTAATTAAAACACTTGTTATTTCCTCAGTGGAAATTACAACCTTTGAACATAGGCAGGATTTAGAAACATCAGCTTAAAAAATGTTGAAAGCAATATTCAAATTTTTTTTTAAAAAAAGATGAAAAAGCTACACGAGATGACTAGTAAGAGAAAACCACCCCATTACCTTTTATCAGATGTGAGAATCTTAAGGTCTGAGAGACCCATGGTTGGTAAACAGCATAAAACACAAGGAAAATACAAACTGAAAAGGCCATCTTCCCTCAGCTACCACAGTAACTGAACTGAATGCCAAAGATCACCCAAAACCTAAACTCTTATTCACCAATGAGCTGAGAGTAGAAATGAGATTAGAAGATTCAGTAGTTACTTCCTCGCTCTAAGAAACGATTAAGAGAATGCATGGTGTTTGCAGAATATTTTCATCTGGCTTTATAGTGGACAGTTGTAATCAGAGCTGTGGTTTCAAGTTCATGGTCTCGTTGTCATTTTCTTGGAGGTCTCCAAATCAAATCCTCTGAAAAATCCCCTCTATGCACATGCCATGCCTCTTCATCCAAATGACATTTGGCCCCTGCTGGAATATCTCCAGGGATGTCGAGAGAAGGGGAATCACTGTTTGCTGGAGGAACTTAATCCATTTAAAGACTGTTCTGTTAGCTTGCTTACGTTAAACCGAATCTTGGCTTCTTGGAACATCCAACCATCACTGTTTATTCTGTCCTTATACCACATAGAGTGGATCTAATTTCTCTTGACAGAACAGCTCTTTATACACCTGAAGAAAGTTAATCATAGCTTTTTCAGACTTCTCACATGGTGTCCTGTCTCAGCCACTGCCTCTGCAGATACTCACATGGCCAGTCTCACTTATTGCCTGGTGCCCAGGATTCAAAGCAATACCCCAGATATTGTCTGCATACTGCAGGGTAAAGTGGTAACACCATCTCCCCCATTGTTCACAGGATCTATCCAATCACCACAACCACAATCACAGTAAATTCTAGCAGCCAGATCACATTTTGGACTCACATTTAATAAAAATCCACATTATTTCCGTACTGGAACAATTGGGCAATATGTATAAACAACTCTGACCCATCCCTTTTGACTCCAAATTCCATTTCTAGGAAGTATCCCAAGTTAATAAGTGCACCGAAGATGTTCAGTGTGGCATTATTTGACAAGTCAGAATTGGGAACAATCTAAATGTCCAAAAAGGATATGTAATGTGTTATGGGCACTTTTAATTTCTTCTCTACATTCTGTATCACTTGTGTAAAAAAGTGAAATGGGAATGGGAAAAGAGAAAGATGGGGGCAGGAGAGGTCTCCCTTGAAGTCCATAGTGTCACATAACCAATCAAGATCCTCCTAACTGCTCTGGTTCACGTTTTTCTATCTTATCCACAAGAAAGAATATCATGAATGATTATCATCGAACTTTCTGTCAAAAAACAAATTCATAAATGATTGTATTTTAAGAACTGATCTAATCTGGAGTTAGTGTCACCTCTAGAATTCTGACACCTCTCCCATAGCCAAGATTCCTTAACTGCCTTATAACAAAACTATAATTTAAAACTTGGAAGTTCCCATGTCTAGTTTGAGCCCCATTCCTTTTTCATATAAACAAAAAGGCATATTTAAATATCAAAATATTGAGGTATATTTTTATTAAGGTGTATTTTTACTGAGGTGTATCTTACATCTCATAAAATCCAATCATTTCAGGCATACAATTCAGCCTCCTCTGACACTCAGTAGCACAGGACATGGGGAAACTCATCCAACCTCTGTTGACACTCAAATTCCTCATCTGTAAAATGGAGATGACAGTATTTGCCTTGACTACACAGGATCGAAGATCGTGAGGATAAAAAAGATCCTGCTTATGAAGGCATCTTAGAATCCTAAAGTAGCACATTATTAATGTAGAAACGTAGAGCTTGAAGGGGCATGAAAGATCACTAGGGCTAGTAATTTTCAAACTCTGTCTTGTGAAGATTCTGAGAGTCTACCTTGAAGAACCTTGAAGAATGAGACAGAGGAGGAAGTGGGGGTCAAGCTCGCTCAACTCCAGACACCCCACCTTCCCTTAGTTGCCCGTCCCCTCCCAAACCGAGCACCTTACACCCATCTATACATTCATACTGAGATTGTCTTAGAAGAAAGGTTTCTGCAGGCCACAGAAATGTTCACAGCACTTTGTAGACCAAGCTGCTCATGTTGAGATGAGGTGACAATGACCAACCTTGCTCAAGGCAATGTGACATTTCATAATGGGGTGGCTGCTATCTGCCAAGCCATGCTGGGATTTCCACAGGCAGAGAGGAGAGGCATGAGAAACCTCACTCTTCAGGACAGCTGCCTTCAATGTCCTTTACTGGCTCTTGTTTTTTCCTAAGGACAGAGCCATTGACCATTTTCTCTTTTTCTCCTTCTTTTCCCAAACTTGCTCACTGTCTTTACAGTGACTACCTGCTTGCATATGCATCCCAAATCTTATCTCCATTCCTGATCTCCCAGGACTTACTCGACTTACTACCAAACATCTTGAATCCTCTGAAACTGACCCACAACCACCCACACCCAGCTGCTTAAACTCTCCCTTAGACCTCTGCCCAAACGCTGGGCATGAAGCCTCATAAGTCACTTTGGCCATATCTTTATCTCACATAATTACCAGCATGTCTTAACTTTTCACTTAAAATAATCTCATTTACATCCTTATTTCTTTATCTATCAAATCGAATCTATGAAGCATTTTGGAACAGTGAGGAGAGGACAGACAGAGAGAGCTGCCTCCCCAGTCTCCCTTCTGTTCCTGCTGACCGCGCATCCTCATCCTGATGGGGACGGCTTCCTGTCCTCTGTTCACTCATCAGGAAGGTCCTCCTTCCCTGCTTGACTCCAATGACCAATACCAAGCCTCAGGCCTTTCTTCTCCATGGAGCTCTTGCTAACAAATGCAGCTCTCAGGAATCCACCATCACTTGAACTTCTTTATCAGACAGGCTTGCTGCTCTGCATGGGAACCCTCCACAGCCCTGGCCACAGTGAACTCACCAAAAGTGACCAAGGGAGCCGACCCAGGGGCTAGCTGCCAAGTCGGCTGGGTTTGCCCTTTCAGTAACTACCTGTGAGAGAAGCTGAGGCACCATCCGGAGCGAAGTCAAGAGGCAAAGGGCACAGGAACATGCCGCAGCCCCATGACAACAGCCCCAGCTCCCATGAGGACCAGCATTGCCAGCTCCTGGAAGGCCAGCTCTGCCTCCTGCCGCCCCCTGAGAGGCTGCTTCATTCTGGTCGACCCCTCCTCACGTGAGCTAACTCAGCAAGATTTCACCCCTAGCAGCCCGAAAACCTCAACCAGAACAACACTGCCTGTCCAACAAGAGATCGAGTCACTAAAATTAGGTGAAGAAATGATGAATTTTGTAAAGTTCAATTTCAAATTGCTGGTTATCCTTTTAAGTAATAAAGGCTTCTTAAAAATTTTTTTAAACATTTCGGCAGAAACTTTTTCATGGGT